CTCCATATCACAGCTTCCATTCATTTTTCAATTACTTGCATTGAAATGAGCTGGATCTGATTCGAAGCTTGGTACCTTAGCATTGCAGCTCAAACTATTTGATATAATTCAATGAAGGGAGATTTTACCCCAAGCTGGAAATGAAGGGCCTCCCAATCGTCCCTTTGTGTCACACTGAAATATTGCAGTGTCAGATAAGAGAAATTATGGATCTGGAGGTCTTTGGGGTATAAAATGTTCTGTTGCCCAGAGGTGGCATTTATCCTCTCTCGGGGTGGGGTGGGGTGCATAGGCTCTAAAATTGGCATTATAACTAAATAGAAATGGTTTTCTCACAAACTTCGGAAATCCTGTGAGGAATCAGGGGCTTATGTAGGTTAATCAAATGTTTCCTAGACATTTGGCATTTGAGACACACATTTTGAACAAACTAAATGCGGAGGCATATAATTTTGCCTCCTGAGAGGGAGCTGATTAGTGGTTTTGATGTCAGATTAGGGCACTGGGCCTGAATTCCTAGTTAGCCATGGAAGCCCAGTGTATGACCTTGGGAAAGTCATAGTCTCTCAGCCTCCGAGGACCAAATTCTTGAAAGATTTCAGCATCCCAGTGGTTGGTAAAGCTTCATATCCTTACTCCTTGTAGTGAAGTCGTATGAGGCCCCATCTACACTGTTATATAAAATCAAGATTATCTGCTTTGAACTGGATTATATTAGTCTAAGGTTTCCCCCTGACATTAAGTCTAGTTGTGTCTGACTCTGGGCGGTGGTGTTCATCTCCATTTCTAAGCCAAAGAGGTGGCATTGTCCATAGACACCTCCGAAGTCATGTGGTCAGCATGACTGCGTGGAGTGACATTACCTTCCTGCAAGAGCAGTACCTATTTATCTACTCACATTTTTTGAATTGCTAGGTTGGCAGAAGCTGGGCCTAACAGTGGGAGCTCACTCTGCTCACCAGATTCAAACCGTTGACCTTTTGGTCAACAAGTTCAGCAGTTTAATCCACTGTGCCATATAATTCAGTTCAAAGCAGATAATAATGGATTTTATATGGCAGTGTAGAAGGGGCCCAAGAGGCATGCTATGATTCTAGACTAAGGGAAATCATAGGCAAATTGGCAAACAATCAAATATGGTGCCATGAGACCAGATTGAGATGCCAAAATAGATTGGTTTGGTTCCAGGTACTGAGGACTCTTACCCTGATTTCAGACTGTGTAAGAATTCTGTTACCAAAAGAGTAGGGATGGGAAAGAAATTTGTTGTGTTTTCCTTTTCCTGAAAAAAACAACAACTTTGTAGCACATCTTTCCTTGGAAAACCATATATTTCTGCATCTAGCACAGTGTTTTTGCTTCACGGTGTTCTGGTGAAGCAAAAGAAGCAATCAAAATTAGGTGTCTATTTAAAAAGCATGCAGTTGAATTTGTATGTAAGTTGGAACACATACATTTTAAGTGTAACTCCAGCCCGGGGGGTGGAGTAGGGAGAGAAGGAGGGGGGGGGGAGCTTTGGATAGCATAGGGAAAGGTTAACACCCTTATGGTGTTTGTTTTGCTGTCTGTGTCCCTGTTTAGAAGATTCCATCTAACTTTCTGTGCCTGTGACTGCTGGATTTTGAAGAATTTGGCTTGTTGTGGAAACAAGAGTTTGGGATAAAGCTTCAGTTACCTTTTCCCCACGGTAACTCCTCCAGGAGTAAATGTCTCTTCTGAGGGGTAGATTTCTCTCACTTCCTACTGTCTCACCCCCGTTCTTTTGTGGTTGTTCATTCGTTCCCAACTCTTCGTGACCTCATGGACCAGCCTATGCTGGAGCTTCCTGTTGGCCGTCACCACCCCCAGCACCTTCAAGGTCAATCCGGTCACTTCAAGGATACCATCCATCCATCTTGCCCTTGGTCGGCCCCTCTTCCTTTTTCATTCCATTTTCCCCAGCATCGTCTTCTCTAAGCTTTCCTTTCTTCTCATGATGTGGCCAAAGTACTTCATCTTTGCCTCTAATATCCTTCCCTCCAATGAGCAGTCGGGCTTTATTTCTTGAAGTATGGACTGGTTGGACCTTCTCGATGTCCAAGGCACTCTCGGAACTTTCCTCCAACACCACAGTTCAAAACCATCTATCTTCCTTCGCTCAGCCTTCCCTAAGGTCCAGCTCTCACATCCGTAGGTGACTATGGGGAATACCATTGCTTTAACTATGCGGATCTTCATTGCCAGTGTGATGTCTCTACTCTTCACTATTTTATCGAGATTGGACATTGCGCTCCTCCCAAGAAGTTAGCGCCTCCTGATTTCCTGGCTGCCGTCGGCGTCTGCAGTAATCTTTGCACCTAGAAATACAAAGTCTTCACCCCGTTCTTTACTATCAGTCATTTCTAAGTCGGATGCTTGTAACTCGGGAATCGTCTGTAATCAGTCAGTATTCAGTTTATATTCACTTACTTTTTTCCCTATTCCTTTTCCTCCATTAATTTAGGATTCCTCCTTCCATATTATTTATGCTCTTACCACTAGAAATTGTGGGTAGGGGTGATGGGACTTGTAATCCAAAACTTCCCAATACCCTTTTTAAATGATATCATTAATGAATGCATTGAGTTCCTCCCTATGCTTCCATTATTTTCTCATATCAATTCGTCAAAAGTATTTCTGATTTCTAAAGCACTATATAACAGTTTAGACTGGGAAGGGGTAAACTTGGGCCCTGCAGGTGTTTTGGACTCCAACTCCCACCATTCCTCACAGCCTCAGGCCCTTTCCTTTTCCCCCTCAGTCGCTTAAGCTGTGAGGAATGGTGGGAGTTGGAGTCCAAAACACCTGCAGGGCCCAAGTTTGCCCGGGCCTGGTTAAAACTGTCTTATATGAACCTACAGCTTCAAACTGTAACCCATTTTATTGTCTTAGCCTTCCTCATAACATGGGAGAATGGGAAACTGGGTATACAAGTTATTGTGAAAGCAAGGGGCTATTGGCGCACCCTATTCCTGCCTTTTCGACGCTTGAAATGAGGTGAATGGCGACAGTCAAAGGCTGAGAGGAATTGGCGCATGCGCCTTCGGAAGACGAGCGAAGTCCTCGCGCATCAAGCTCGTGATTGGGCGTTATCCCCCACCGCTTTTTCACCAGCCAATAGAAAATGAGTCACCATAGACTAATTCAGAGAGAGTGAAGAGTGACTTGACTTGGCACGTTTTGTGACTGCAAGTAATTTTTAGAGATGGCGAATCTATCAAGATTGGTTTCTGAATTTGCCTTTCCCTTCGGTCTTCCCTCCCTAAGGCTGAGAGAGGGTAATGAATAATAATGCTCGAGCGGGGCCTCGAACGTACTGAACTTGCTGCTTTGAAAGGTCAGCGCTTCGAATCCGCAGAAGGGCGTGAGCTCCCGCTGTCAGGCCCAGCTTCTGCCAACCTAGCAGTTCGAAAACATGCAAATATGAGTAGATCAATAGGTATAAGCATATGAGAAGCTTGGCCTGTCATTAAACATCGAGAAAATCAAAGTGCTCTTCCAGCAGTCACCAGCCAATGCCAGAAATACAGCTTAATGGTGTAAACATTAGAAAATGTTGACCATTCCCGCTACCTTGGCAGCCACCTCTCCACCGAAGTCAGCATTGACACTGAAATTCAACACTGCCTGAGCTCTAAGAGTGCAGCATTTTTACGAATGAAGCAGAGAGTGTCCATAGGGACACCAAGGTGCTTGTTTATAAAGCTATTGTCCTTCCAACCGTGCTACACGCCTGCGAGACATGGACTGTCTACAGATGTCACATGCAACTCCTGGAACGATTCCATCAGTGCTGCCTCCGGAAAATCCTGCAAATCTCTTGGAAAGACAAGCAGACAAATGTCAGCATGCTGGAAGAAGCAAAGACCACCAGCATTGAAGCAATGGTCCTCCACCATCAACTCCACTGGACCGGCCACATTGTCCATATGCCTGACCACCATCTTTAAGTAATCGGATCAAATTTTGCCATAGTCACTGCTGAATGTTTTTATGTTATTTATTATTATTATTATTATTATTTCAAAGTTTTATATACCGAGCTTCTCACCTCATAAGAGGGACTCAGCCCGGTTTCCAACCATAAAAACACATACAATCGGTAAAATATCAAAATACACATTACAATAAAACATTAAAATAGCAAAAAATGTTGAATGTTTTTATGTTGAATGTTTTTATATTGAATGTTTTATATTGTGTATAAGCTATTTTAAATTGTAAGTCGCTCGGAGCACTTTGGTGGAGAGCGACAAATTAAGAAATAAAGTGATGATGATGATCTCCCAAACCAGTTGCTCTGCTTTGAACTCAAGAACGGAAAACAGAATGCTGGTGGGCAGGAAAAGAGATTTAAAGATGGGCTCAAAGCCAAGCTTAAAATCTCTGGCATAGACACTGAGAACTGGGAAGCCCTGGCCCTTGAGCGCTCCAGCTCGAGGTCAGCTGTGACCAGCAGTGCTGCAGGATTTGAAGAGGCACAAATGGAGGGTGAAAGAGAGAAACGTGCCAAGAGGAAGGCGCATGAAGCCAACCCCAACCGGGACCGCCTTCCACCTGGAAACTGATGCCCTCACTATGGGAGAAGATGCAGATCAAGAATAGGGCTCCACAGCCACCTACAAACCCACCACCAGGATACTACACTTGGAGGACCATCATCCTCAGGCTACAAGGGATCGCCTAAGTGAGAAGGTATCGGCTCTCCATGCAGTCATGCCAGCCACATGACCTTGGAGTGTTTACGGACAACGCCGGCCCTTCGACTTAGAAATGGAGAAGAGCACCAACCCCCAGAGTCAGACACAATTGGACTTAATCTCAGGGGGAAACTTTGACCTTACTAAAGTCAATGGGAATAGCATAAGGCCAAAGGCAAAGGAGGTTTTGCGTTTCATCCCTGCCTGCCCGGCATCGGAGCCTCGCGTCACTCTTTGTTTTCCTTGCTCTTAGTGCTTTCTTTTGCGGCAGTGGCCGTCTAGTAAGGTTGTCGTAAACGGAGGTTTCCTTGACGGCTGAGATAAGGCTCAACGAGGGGCTTCTCTCCATTAGGACGGGTAAGTCCACCTGAAATGCCCCGAAGTGCTGTGAAAGCTTGGAATTTGGACCTCAGGCCAGCTTTGAACTGGACCAGGGAGGAAAAAGGACTGAAGGGAAACTGTTGGAGCTTGTGCCACGATTATTGATTGGTTTTAAATGTCCATTTTCTCAAGAAGGGACATCCTGTTTTAATAAGGGATTCTTGTCATCCATAGCTAGAAGGAAGAAGCTTTCCAGGGCCCTTCGACACAGCCCTATATCAAAGAATATCAAGGCAGAAAATCCCACGATATCTGCTTTGAATTGCGGCTCTTTCCATACAGCTGAATAAAATCCTACATTTTCTGCTTTGAACTGGAATATATGGCAGTGTGGAGTCAGATAATCCAGATATTGTGGGATTTTCTGCCTTAATATTCAGGGATATAGGGCTGTGTGAAAGGGCCCTGGGTTTTCTGAATCCACACTCAGATAATGTGGGATTTTCTGCCTTGATATTCTGTGTGGAAGGGCCCTTCCACACAGCCCCATATCCCAGAATATCAAGGCAGAAAATCCCACATTATCTGAGTGTGGACTCAGATAACCCAGTTCAAAGCCGATATTGTGGGATTTTCTGCCTTGATATTCTGGGATATAGGGCTGTCTGGAAGGGTCCCTAGTCCTCAAATAAGGGACACCATATCTACCTACAGGCTCTTCCACACCGCCATATAACCCAGAATATCAAGGCAGACAATCCACAATATCTGCTTTGAACAGGGTTATCAGAGTCCACACTGCCTTATAATTTGGTTCAATGTGGATTTTATACTGCTGTGTATAAGGGGCCTTACTATCTAGATATGGGACAGTGTATAAGGGGCCTTACTATCTAGATATGGGGCAGTGCCTGATGAAACCAGTTTCATATTAAAACAGTAATAAGTTCAAACATTTTAAGCAATATAAAATATTAAAACCAAGTACAGGCTGAGTTCTCATCTGAAATGTTTGCAACCAGAAGTATTTTGGATTTTGGAAATTTACATATACATAATATATAACTTGTGTATACATTATGTATATTTTGCAGACAACTTGTGGATAGCTTAGATTGAGGGATCTTTCCTTTCTGGTGGTTCAAATGTATAAAAATTGTATCTCATGTATAATATGTTTGAAATTATTGTGTAAAAATACTTCTAGTCAGCGTGTAGAATTTATAATAATACTTTATTTGTATTCCACCCTGTCTCCCCAAGGGGACTCACAACCATGAAGGCAAGCATTCAATGCCTTAAAAACAGCCATATCTATTAATACAGTAACCACCTACCCGAATCCCAAAGTAAATCCCAACATAAAACTGTGAATTGTAACAGAAAACTAAAATTACATATCTAACCTAAAAACATGAACCTCGATATCAGAATCACTAAAGTTTCAACTAAGAAAGTTTAAATTAATTATGTTGTGATGTCAACAGTGCCAACTGAGCTGACAAAGCCAGAGTAAAATAGTAGTTTCCGGTCAAGGTGTATTAACTAGCCATATATATGAAACATAAATGAATGTGTTTTTTTCTATTGCTGTGAAGAATATCTTTAGATCTGTCTATATATAGATAAGGGACAGCTGTCAGGCCTGATATGTCATTTCTTGTGTCCACTATCTAGTTTGTATTGTAGTAAGGATTCTCTGTACCATCCATGATGCATTATAATAATATTATAGAATCATGGTTGGAAGAGACCTTGTGGGCCATCCAGTCCAGTCCCCTGCCAAGAAGCAGGAAAAACACATTATCTGGATTGCGGAGGTAGAAAGTACAGTGCAGACAGCAGGGTGACCTTCATTCTTTTTCATAGCTAGGCCAAGAGGCTTTCTGGCTTTGTCCAAGTGTCTCAGACCCCATCTACACTGACATATAAGGCAGCTTCAGAATGCAGTTTTACAGCATTGAATTAGATTATATGAGTCTACACTGCCATATAATGCTGTTCAATGCGTTTAAACTGCATTCTGAGCTGCATTATATAGCAGGGCAGATGGGGCCAGAGGGTCCTGCTGTCTCTCATACTTGTTCAGTCAATGCTGCAGGTTGGCTATTTGTGTACTGTGACAGAAAGTGCAGCAAACATATCAAAGTAACAGGAGATATGTATACACACACTGGCACTAGAGATATGTATACACACACTGGCACTAGAGATGTGGAGGTGATTAAAAATTGGGTATGGATGATATTGAGTCCTTTGATTGTTTATTCTCTTTCTTCCAGTAGTGCTACTCATACAGCAAGTTTTAATAATAAGACCAATAAGAGGATGGCTGATCAAGATGTAGAGGAGACTCTGCTGAGTCCTGCAGGTGAAGATGTGATAAAGGATAGTGATGAGGAGAGAGAAGTGCCTGTGACAGAGAACAAGGAAGGAGATGATGATCCCTGGGATCAAGATGGCACCCCAAATGTTGCCTTTCAGGACAAGAAAGGAGAAAGCAATGCTCAAATGGCTCTCCCTAATGAAGCTGACACCAAAAAAGTTGTGCCTGGGATCATTTACCTTGGTCATATCCCTCCCCGCTTCCGGCCCCGGCATGTCCGGAACCTGTTGAGTGTTCATGGTGAAGTGGGGCGCATTTTCCTACAACCTGAAGGTGAGCTGGGGTGTATGCATTAGGGAGGAGTAAGGTGGACTTGTGTGCATATGGATGGAAATAGCAACCTTCTACAAGCCTCCTATACTAGTTATTTGTTGGGTATATAATTCAGATTGCTTACTATATTGCATATATATGATTTAGATTGCAGTTTTCACTTAACTCTGTTGTTTGAGGTTGAGGGGGGGATTGCAGACCATGTGACCAGATCTGGGACTATTCAGACTGAGACGCCATTTTGGAAGCCAGTTTTTACCTCAGTACAGTACATTTTACCTCAGAAGCAGTACAGTTTAGAAATCAGTCAGTGTCAGTATGCTGGAGTGTATTGCCTTTATTGAGCTAATACTCAGTAATGTATTAGACTGAAGAGAGTGTTAGTCTGTATGCAGTTAAGTTTGTAAGTGAATCAACGATGTTACTTTTAATGAAGACTACCTATTTTGGTCTCTTGAGAGCATGATTTAAAAGCAATATATTTTATGGGAGAGTAGTTGTTTCTTTTGGGCAACTGAAATAATACTTCTGAACATCTGCTATATATTTTATGCACTGGCATATTTTTGTTCATAACAGTTCATAGAGATAACTAGGTATATCAGTCTAACAGCTGAGAAACCTAAATTGCCTTGCATGAATATTAGTGGATCTTTACCACTAAGGACAAGATTGACTCAAGCAAGTTTTTAGCTCTTCTCAGGAAGATCATCATTTACAAAAAGGTTATGATTATTCCATATAGTACGAATGCCAATTGATCTCCAAAAAGTGTCACACTTCCAAATGGCTATAGAGATTCTGGTTTTCCAGAAGGTTATGATCTCTAATAATAAACTAATTTGTATCCCGCCACCATCTCCTCAAAGGGGACTCAGGGCGGCTAACATGAGATCAAGCCCAAAATTACAGTATAGCAAAATAAAATACAAAAAAGCAGAAAATACCATCAAAATAAATACATGAAATAACAAAATAAAATAAACAATTACAAAATAACATGATGCATAAACATGTGCTCAATCGAGCCAGGTGTTATGAATGCCAAGGTGAAGTGCTATGTTGGATTCAATCTCTCTTTTGAATTGAGATCTGTATGGAGAAGTAGATGTAGGGTGAGGATATCTGGGTGGAAACATACCTGGTGTAAGATTTCTTACACTGGACAACACTCATTTTGGTGCCTCAAATATTAGTCCTGTTTCTGGGTATGTTTGACCTGCTGATTCCAAAAATGGCACCAGTTTCCCCCTATCAGCTATAGTTTTTGAGATACAGTACATATGCCGTGTACGAATAGCCACCTGCTCATCTATAGAAAACCATGATAACCATATCTAAGAAACTAGAGCGGATGCAGTCTATTTAGCGCAACTTTCTGAATCAGTGCCCCAAATGGTCCCTGGAACAGGCCTAAAAAAACAAAGATACCAAGAAAAAAATGGTTGTTGCTGGGCTGTGTTATTGAAGACATTCTGTCTGAAGGGCTAAACAATTCTCATCTCAAAGTTTAAAGTATGTTTCTCGTGAGCAAGTTACTCTATTAAGTTCTTTGGTTTGTTTTGCTATTGAACTGCTTTGCATTCTTGTAGCTGGGAAAATGCTATATAAATGGTCTTAAATAAATAATCGATAGTGGATATATCTTCCATTTTATATGTGAAAGACACAGCAGCTGAGTTACAGTGACATATGCATAAGTCAATGGATTTAAAGGTTTGACCTGAGATTCTAAGATCTACTTTCAAGTCTGCACAATGTATAACCCATTTCTCTCTCTCTCTCTCTCTCTCTCAGAACGATTTATACGAAAGAAGAAGAAGAAAGCTGGGAGCAATGCCAAGAATTTCACCGAAGGCTGGGTTGAATTCCGGGATAAACGTGTAGCCAAATTGGTTGCTGCCAGTTTGCACAATACACCTATGGGCACCCGCAGGAGGAGTAAATTCCATTATGATCTCTGGAATATGAAGGTGTGTGTGTGTGTGTCGGGGGGGGGGGGGGGGTGTTGGGAGCTACTCATAAGGATGTTTAGAATTTCCTCTCATCCATTCTTAATTTTTCCTATAACATACCCAACAACAACAAACAAAAATCTTAGTGTCTTGGTTTCTAGGTCTGTTCCTAAGGTTATCTGGGGATCTTATTCAGAAATTTGCATTGGATAAGCTGCATCAGCTCTAGTTTCTTTGATATGGTTATCAAGGTTCTCTATGGGTGAGCAGATGGCAATTGGTAGATGGCATATGTTATGTATCTCAAAAACTAGAGGTGATCGGGGAAACTGGTGCCATTTTTGGAATCAGCAGGTTAAATATACCCAGAAATGGGGTAATATTTGGATACAAAAATATGTGTTGCCTGGCTCCAGAAAGGAATAGGAAATTAACACTTTATGTGAGCTTGCGAAAGTAGCAAATTTCTTCCTCTAATTTGGTGTTCTCTTTGTAGTTCTGACCATCACCTGCTTTTAAAGTGATGTGACATAAATAGTTTTATTACATTATATTCAAGTATTTTACTGTGTGTGCACCATTTACAGAGATTAAGAGGACATTACTAATAGTGCCTACTTGAAGTGGAGAAGTTGGAATTTATCCAGAAGATGGAATAGCAGTACTTTATGCGGCATCTGTAGTTAAAATGTTTCGCCTTAAAGTAACTCTGTAACAATGCAGTGCTCATGGTTAATGATGCTGCAATTAAATACCTTGCCCATTATATCCTTTCTAAGAAAAGCAAACAAATAATGGGTAAATGGAATATGTTATGGAAGAGCAAGGAATTGCTGCCATATGGGCTTCTTCTCAGAACTACGTTAATTTCTTAGTTCTGTTTTGAATCTTCTTGATAATAATAGTGGAAGAGCCTTCTTTGGAGGCTGGATGGCCATCTGTCGAGGATACTTTGATTGTGCTTTTTCTTCATGGCAGGAGGTTGGATTAGATGGCCCATGTGGTCTCTTCCAAATTTAAAATTCTATGATACCTCACACGATTCAAGTAGGCATATTTATCTGGGAAATTCTTACTGGTCTGAATTCCTTTTAGTAAGTTGATTTCCCTTCAAGGCAGGATATTGGACCAGAAATCATCTATGGATGGAAGTAAAGCCATTAGTGGATGGGCTACTCTTTTTCCTCTATTCTTGATAAAGTGAAATACCATTCTCAGCAGAGATGTGTGTGCTTGTTTGTTGATTATGTCTGAATTTAGGTCAAGGGCTGCAATAAATTAAATGGAGGATCACATACTGCCTACCTTTTTTGTAAGAACATTGCTACCAACCATTATAGTCTAACAAGTTATGGAGGGAGAGTTCATTTTCCTCTAGCCCCTAGACTAATGTGTGGCTTCTGAGAATACGGAAGCTGTGCTACCCTTAGTTACATTATTTCCATATCTTATACCAAGGATGGGAAATTGCTGGCCTTCCATACCTTATTGGATTGCTCTAGCCAAAGCCACAATTTGCCCAGACTTGTTTTAGACCAGTAGTTCTCAACCTGTGGGTCCCCATGTGTAGCCTACAACTCTCAGAAATCCTAGCCAGTTTACCAGCTGTTAGGATTTCTGGGAGTTGAAGGCCAAAACATCTGGGGACCCACAGGTTGAGAACCACTGTTTTATACCACAGAGTGCTGAGGTTTGAAGTTTCATGAAGTCTTAAGCCATTTCCTCATCTTTTGTTCCTAGTACTTGCACCGCTTCAAATGGACTCACCTAAGTGAACGGCTCGCATATGAACGGCAAGTGCGGCAACAGCGGATGCGTGCTGAGGTTTCACAAGCCAAGCGTGAGACCAATTTCTACCTCCAGAATGTAGAGAAGAGCAAGCACTTTGCCGCAAAGGGCAGCCAGAGAGCGCAAGAGGAAAAGAGCTGGGGCTTTGTCCAGCGGCGTACTGAGGAAGAAATCCAGACCAGCAAAGGGAAGAAGCGTCTGAAACAGCAACTGGCCCGTGCTGCTGAGATACAGCAAAAATCCCAGTCGAACAGTTCCCTGTTAACCAAAATCTTCAATGTCCAGCAGTAGCAATGGTTTGCTCCCAATCTTGATCTACCTTTGATGAGTAGAGAAGACTTAAAACTTCCATAGATCCCATAAGAAGTAAAAATGGTCATGTTTTGTTTGGCCCATTTTATGAATATATTGTGATCTACATTTACTGATCTTTCTGCTGTGCAGAACCTCTCTTGCCAGGCAAGGACCAGAATTAAAGGTTTCTCTTTTTGGGATTAGAGTCTTTTGACCTTTCTTTTGGTGTCTGGAGTTGGTCTGTTGCATCCTGTTGGACTATGAACCAGTTCCTGGAGCTAGGGCCATAAAGGGCTGTGGCTGCATAAGGCAGATGACTCTGAACGGGAACTGAAACTTATTAGGATCCAGTTGCTTATACAAACCACAGATTCTAGAAAGCTAAGGGTGAGAGTTAAATAAAATGGTCAGAGTTCCTTATAGTCTATAAAATATCAAAATACATCAGTCTTTACCTCTATTTGGTTGACTGATCCCAAACACTGTTAAATGGGCAATATCAAACATCAATTATATGGGCTGTGAAGATGATAAAATAGTAAGTGAATATGCATCACTGGATGTTTCAGATGGGGTATTGTGTAATCTGCAAGGTGTATTATAATCAGAGTAGGATAATATTTTTTTCTCAAAAATTGTACTGTGTTCAAGATTGCTAATTATCCTAAAACATTGCGGAAAACCTTTGTTTTATTAAAAAAAATTAAACCCCTTTCATTCTGGTTATCTCAGCTGTGAAATATTTGGAAATGTTGAGAACATTTTTGAAAGAATTTGGAAAATTTTCAATAGAGTTGTTTATTCAAAGAGATACTGTAACTGATTTAAAATATCCATCATTTCTATGGCAATTTAACCCATCAAGGGACTGGACCACTATACGGAAGGCTGTAGTATTTGGGGAAGTTGTTTGAGTGTTGAATTTTGGAGATCAGGCTCCAATTCCCTGCTCAGCCCGGGTAACCTTGGGCAAGCCATGCCCTCTTAATTTATCTATTTACTAGATTTATATCCTGTCTTTCTTTAGGTGGGGGGCACGGGGGGACTCAATGCAGTCTTACAACAGATAGCAATTTGATGCCATACACACATATATCAAGTAAACAATTACAATTAAAACCAAACAATTAAAACTTGAATTATTAAAAACAACAATTAAAATCAAGCCAACCAAAACATAATCCAGGGCCATTCCATTCATCTCAGAACTTTATAATAGGTTCACTGTTGGGGGGCCATAAGTCAACAACAGTGATGAGATAGAGTGATGGAAAGGGTTAAAATGAATCAATAGGATTTCCCTGCAGGCCTTTTCTTAAGGGTTAAAAGAAGCCCATCTACCAGTCCTATCTTAAAAAGAAAATACTTGCTATCTGGAGGCATTGGACTGGTTAATCAGACCGGCAGGGTTGCACAGTACATGGGATTCAACCTTAACTGCACCACCCACTCTAAAATATGAGAGAAGTAAGAGGTCCTCAAAAATCCTCTTTCTTGACTAGCTAAATTTATTAAATCAGAAGGCCTGGAAATTTTGAGATTTCCTATGGAGGAAAAATGATGGAATATAGGGATGCTTGCATCCCAAATCAACATAACATTTGGATCGAGAAAAATTGTCCGCATATCTCAGTCAATTGTTTTCATCATTGTGAAAGAATACAATTTGCATTGCTGGGAAGTAGATATTTGATTAAATGCTTCAGGAGAAATTGAGGCATGCCTATGTACTATGAGATAATCACAAGATAGCCATCATGGATTAAAAAAAAGTATGAGCAGATTCTCTAATCTCTCAGGCCATCTCAGCAATACGGCACCTCCCTGCCTCTTACCTCAATGTGTTTAATATATTGTACTTATATGCCACATCAGAAGCCGCCTGCATAAAGAGTACTTTAGAAATATTCAGATTTTTAAAAAAGATAGAAAACAACGTAGTAGACTTGGTTCCCTTTCTAGAGTTTCACTGTTTTTTCCACATTCCTATTGCCTGAGGAATGGAGGAGAGTGGCCCTACTGTGCCAAGTGGATTCCTACTGTGTCACGAGAAATCACAGACACAAACTACCCTAGCAAACAAGGAAACAATTCTATGAACCTCCCCCCACTATCTGATGGTTTTTATTCCTTATTTTTTACATAAATTTTACATAAATTAAGAGCTACTTCAAGGATAAGGGTAGAGCTTGGAAGAGTCGCATTCTCTACAAAAGCTACCAGATTCCCCACAGAAAACAGGCTTGCTAGCCATGTAGATCGGAATGCTGGAAGGTGTAGTGTTAGATTACCATACAAGTTTGGTAAATTGCAGTGACAGTAGAATAGGGTGGTACTTTTCACATGATGCAATACTTTTCCCATTGCTGCTTTGCATTTCCATTTTGATTGCAGCGCCTCTTTTCATTGGTGGTGGGAAAACCTTTTCGATAGCTTCCAAAACCACCGCTTTCCAGTTCTGTCTCTGGTGTGATGAATTTCTTCAGCTGCAGTTCCAATATTTTGTCGGTCACCTGCCATGAGTGAGGGATGTTCTCTTCTTCGCCCTCACTATTTCCAAGCAAAGTAAGTTTGCTTCTACTCATTTTTCTTTTTCTTTTATATGACTTTTTTCTTTTATCGGTTGGCACAATTGTGTAACTGTAATAAAAATAAATTAAAAAAATAAAAATCGATATGCATGTATTTCATACATCCTCCTGCATCACATAGCCCTCCTTTGTTCTCTGGGGTTTCATACTTTCCCTCACCTTTTGTTTTCTTGCTCACTCCTCCGTAAGACCAAGAATGTAAAGAGCCTCTTTCTGTGAGGTCCTCTCAATTTTCCTGAGACTATGTAAGGCTTTTTGTCCTGTTTTTCTCAAGAACATGGACTTTTATTAATTATGCACAATTAGTCATAGAATCCTAGAGTTGGAAGAGACCTCCTAGGCCATCCAGTCCCACCCCCTGCCAAGAAGCAGGAAAATCAAATTCAAAGCACTCCTGACAGATGGCCATTCAGCCTCTGCTTAAAAGCCTCCAAAGAAAGGAGCCTCCATTTTTGTGTAAAACTACTTTTGCATATCTTGCAATGCAGACTATGTTTGTCACTCTGTGCTTGATCCTGTGTATGGAAGGTGTGGGGTTGATAGTTGTTCAGCTTCTGCCTCGCCAATGATTACTCTGCTTGAAATCCCTCACCTTTCCCAAAATGAGCTTGCTGTTTCCTAAAACTGACCTACACCAACCATTCATACCCCAAGAAATCATATAGGAATACTTCTCCCAGTCCCTTTACTCAAAAGCTAGTTCCCCTTTTACTTCCAGACATTGGTGATCTACCTGGGTTTTCCCAAAGCCAAAAAAGTACTCATTTGCCTATTCCAAGGGTGGATGATGTATCAAGCCTTTCTGAGTTGCCCAAGCACAATTCTGTACTGGGTCAGATGAAGAAACATTTGAGAGGTGATACTGGGAACTGAAAATTGGTTCTTGAGAAATGGGTGTGCCAAGTCTTGCTTGAGATATTTATAGAAAGTCTTGATTGGTGCAACAGCATCAGAACATTCTAGTCCATTGAAAAGTTCAGATTCCGAGCACAAGCAGGAAGTTATTATCTAAGGCAGTGGTTCCCATCCTTTGATCCTCCGTGTGTTTTAGATTTCAGCTTCCATAATTCCTAACAGCCAGCAAACTGGCTGAGATTTCTGGGAATTTAAGTTCAAAACACCTGGAGGATCAAAGGTTGGGAACCACTGGTCTAAGGACTCTAGGATAATAATAATAATAATAATAATAATAATGGGTTGTAAGTTTTTCGGGCTGTATGGCCATGTTCCAGAAGCATTCTCTCCTAACATTTCACCTGCATCTATGGCAGGCATCCTCAGAGGTTGTGAGGTCTGTTGGAAAATAGGAAAATGAGTATTTAAAAACTCTAAAATCATAACAGTAAATTTAAAAAAACAACACTCAAAAACAGGGGAAGTCCAGAGAAGAAACAATCAGGGACAGCTAATCACCTCTCAATAAAGGATTCCCCCATGCAGTAAGAAGTCACACTTTTAAACTGCTAGGCCATTAAATGCTAATCGAGGTGACCAATTGAAACATTCACGCAAGCCTCCAACAGTCAAGAGTTTTTTCCCACCCTGGACATTCCACAGATATATAAACTCCAATTTTCCTAGTTTCTAACAGACCCCTCAACCTCTGAGGATGCCTGCCATCGATGCAGGCGAAACKTCAGGAGAGAATGCTTCAGGAACATGGCCATACAGCTCGAAAAACTTACAGCAACCCAGTGATTATGGCTGTGTTAGCCTTCAACAATACAACAACAACAACAACAACAACAATAATAATACTTTATTTGTACCCCTGCCACCAGTTTTTTTGTGGGGTGCAGATATCTCAGGATATCTGCACCCTACAATCCCCAAAGGAAAAGCTTGGGAGGGGGGCCACAATTAAGCTTTTAGGGATGAACAGTTTCCCTGTGAAAGGTGAGGTGTTTCATCAGAAGAAGCAGAGAGCTGTTCTCAGACAAGGCTTTCTTGATTTTGGTAGCAATGTCCCACATCCAGAATGTGCTGCGGGAGACAAGAAGGGTTTCAGGGAAGGGGAGCATTGCTTTAAGGAAGGGGTTCTCAAAGTGTGCTCTGTTGAGCCCTTGGGGCTCTGTGAAGTATATGGAGGGGTTCCACAGCTTTCTCCTCCTCCCTCCCTCCTCCTTCCCTCCAAGCTTTCCCTCCTCTTTCCTGCTCCTCCTCCTCCAAAGCCTTCCTCCCAAACTCTTCCTTGCTTCCAAAAAACCTATTTCTCTCCCACCGCTCAGGGGGTGCGTTGATTGTACTTTTGCTGCATGGCAGAAGGGGTTGGATTAGATGGCCCCTGGGGTTGATCCTATTATTATTATTATTATTATTATTATTATTATTAGATACATAACAAGATTAGTACACAGAAAACGAGATCCCTATGCTGGCTTTTGTATATGATCACATATTGTACACTTCCCAGGTGTCTAGGACTGTGTGATGTATCGGTGAATGATGCATGCAGATCCGAGTAGGGTGGCCTTTTGCAGCTGACAGATGGTAAATTTGTCAGCACCATTTGTTTTTAAGTGCAGGCCAAGGTCTTTAGACACTGCACCCAGTGTGCCGATCATCACTGGGACCACCAAAGTTTTCCTGCATGATATAATATAATATATAAACATTTATTGGGGGCTCCATAAGAAACTTTTGCTTCAAAAAGGGCTCTGTGGCTGAAAAAGTTTGGTAACCCCTGGTCTAAGGGAATAAGAAAACAATGAAGAAAGGGCTGCTGCCTGCGAGGCTGGGGTACCAAATTATTATTTTCTCTTCACAAGGGTGTATTTTCAGATGGCTTCTGATAATGGGCATTAGGAGCTGGTTTTTGAACTAGTGTGTAGGCCATGTGAAGTGACCTGAATGTCTGATCTGTGATGCCATGCTTTGGCTATAAATATATAAGCTTTCCAGGTCCCCTGAGCTGCTGAACTTCCTGACCAAAACGTCAGCAGTTTGAATCCAGGGAGTGGAGTGAGCTCCTGATGTTAGGCCCAGCTTCTGCAAACCTAGCAGTTTGAAAACATGCAAATGTGAGCAGATCAATTGGTACCGCTTCTGCGGGAAGGTAATGGCGCTCCATGCAGTCATGCTGGCCACATGACCTTGGAGGTGTCTATGGATAATGCCGGCTCTTTGGCTTAGAAATGGAGATGAGCACTAAACCCCAGAGTCATACACGATTAGACTTAATGTCAAGGGAAAACCTTTACCTTTACCTATATGAGCTTTCCAGTAGCCTTGCCTTTTTAGGAACTGGTAGCTAGGCAGAATTGGGAAGGTTATAGTTGCAACTCTGGTGCATATCAGGATTACTGAAATGCTGAGGGTACAAAAGTTTCTAACCATTCAAACAGGGACTGGGCAAAACTAGGTAATTGGCACACTGTTTAGTAAATAAGAGGGTGATAACATACACTTCTGTTTTTCACATGACAGCTCACCCTGTTAAACATTGCAATGTCTCACTGTTTTTAAGAATTTGCTCTTTTGTTGCCACCCTGTTCTAGGAACTAGCCAGATGGCATTCCTTCCCAGCATTCAAAGATGGGGGAAAGTCAGCCCTTTCAGAATTGCCCAACTAAAATTCTGAAGCTAGTGGCACAAGAAGGAAACATTTGGCACACTTGTTAACATTGGACTTGTTAACATTGGACCTTATCAACGGCCTGATCAAACTTCCTTGAGTGCTTTAATCCAGTGCCTCAGAATGTGTTTGAAAAGTTTCCAGGGGATTTTAACGAGGGTACCCAGGTTGCCAACATAATTGCTTTCTGGAAAGGTGGGAGGGGATGGTGTAAGGGCTTCATACCTTGGGCCCCAGGACAAGAGGCCACTTAAGACACCAGGAGGATAAAAGCAGGAGCCAAGCGCAGCCGCTCACTCATCTGACAAGCTTTGCCAAGATGAAGGTGCTTCTATTCTTGGGCATCTGCTTTCTTGCAGCCGTGGCTGTGCCCAGCGCCGAAGGCAGGCGAATGGAGAGATGCTCACTGGCTCGAATGTTCAAGAAGGAAGGCTTTGACAACCTTGTGGGCCGTAGAGTGGCTGATTGTGAGTACCCTTTGGTTTTTACCCAAAGCTTGGAAGAATGTCCTCTTGGAAAACAACTCTTTGTCTTTCCCAACCAGCATGGTCATTGCCCGGGCTGCTCTAGATGGTTAGAACTGCAGTCCAAAAAAGTCACAGCCAAGCTTTGAAGCGGCCCTACTGCTTTCCCATGCCTATGGGTTACCGACACACTAGTTGAGGGCTTGCAATCTCCTCATTAGGCCTACAACAGAGTTGCAAAGGAGAATGAGGAAAACTGTCATAATGGCAGCTCTCCCTTTTCTTAGGTTTCTACAGAGGAAAAGAAATAATTTTTGTATATCCCAGTAGAGGGAAACTTTAGTCCAATTGTATAAAATATATGAGACACAGACATAATATAGAGGACACACATAAGAAATTCCATGGGAAACCAAAAATTCCTTTTTAAACCAAAAAGGACAAAGAATTAAATTATTTGGTGGAGCAAAGACAACATTTGGATACTCTATAAAATCTGCTTAACAGGTATATTATATGTTTAGTGTAATGTTCACCATTACATGCAGGATTTTTCAAAGTACAGGAATTGTATTTAATCTGGAGTGTTGTGTGGTTTCCAGGCTGTATGGCTGTGTTCTAGTAGCATTTCCCCCCTGATGTTTCACATGCACCTGTGGTTGGCATCTTCAGATGATATTTAGTCTGTTTATGGAAACTTTGGGCCAATAAAAAGATTATGGATTGGCTAGAACAGTGGTTCCCAACCCGTGGGTCCCCAGATGTTGTGGCCTTCAGAAATCCTAACAGCTGGTAAATTGGCTGGGATTTCTGAGAGTTGTAGGTCAAAACACCTGGGGACACACAGGTTAAGAACCACTGGGCAAGATGGTGAAGGAAACCCCATCTTTGATAAGAAATATATTTTGAAGTTCATTCATTGTTTATTCTCTCTTAAACTACAATGTGCAAAGGAAAATACTAGGGTTTACTATGTGAGCTATTGTTCTAGACATCATACAATAATAATAATAATAATAATAATAATAATAATAATAATAATAATAATAATAATCTTTATTTATACCCTGCCACCATCTCCCCCAACAGGGACTCGAAACAGCTTACATGGGGCCAAACCAGAACAACAAATTAAAATACAAAAATACAAATTGCAATAGAATAAACAACATAACAATGAAGTAAAAACATCAAAGCATATGAACAATATACACAAACCATAGAAACCAAACATAATGACAGAGAGCGGGCTGCATGTTCATAAAATGATTTAAAAACTCAGGGTGAGATAAAGGGGCAGAACTGCTTGTAGGGGAAAACTCATAGATAGACGGAGAAATAAACAAAACAAGTGTACTATGTGGGAGAAAAATCAAAATCTGTTTTTATGAAGGGCTTCTTGAAAGGCATCCAGAATGACAGATAATTTAGATCTTTGGTAATGTGGCACGATCTTACGATCTTCTTGCAGGGGTCTGTCTGGTACAACATGAGAGTTCTTACAACACCAGGGCTGTCAATGTTAATAGTAACAAGAGCCGCGACTATGGCCTCTTCCAGATCAACAGCAAATATTGGTGTGATGACGGAAAGACACAAGGTTCTAAGAACGCCTGTCGTACTAAATGCAACAGTAAGTGTGGATGTGTGTGTGTTTATGTGCATATGAAAATGTGTATTATGGAGAGTTACATTAGCACCAACACCCCTTACCTGTGACATGGAAGCATGAAGGCACACCGATTTCCTCATTCAGACTTCCATTTTGGCCCGTGACATTTATCCAATGTCCCTCCCTATTTTTCTCTCTTGCTGGCTCATTCCAATCTGTTTCTTCTCTCTTAAGAATTCCTAGATGATAACATTGATGATGACATCCGGTGCGCCAGGAAAATAGCACAGGAGGCCAAAGGGCTGACTCCTTGGTAAGTGGACTCAAGATCAAATGAAAGAGGGTTGCTTAATTTTGGAGAAAGTTTGTCTGCCTGGCAAGATGGTGTGAAAGAGAGATGGGGAGGGTGACAGAAAAAAGAGAAACCAATTCCATGGTTCTGGCTCAACCACCCTTGACTTCAACCTGTGTAATGCCAGCAGGAGCCTCGGCTGAACATTACCATTAAGGGAATACATCCCTCAACAGAGCAAAGGTTCTCCACACAATCTCCCAGATCAAGGCTGGAGTTACTGAGCTCTCTTAGCCATCCCTGCCTAATTCACTATCAAGACACTTTTAACAAAAACCTCAAACTCTGAACATCTTGACAATTTGTTATTTATTTATTTCACATATTTGTATCCTGTCTTTCTTACCCCCGAGGCGGGGACTCAGGACGGCTTCACAACAGGCAGCCATTCGATACCATCGCACAGATTTAAAATAACAATTACAATTAAAATGGTTAGTTAAAACATCAATTATTAACACATTCATTTAAAATCATGCAAGTTCAAAATCACAGTCCTGGTGAGTCCATTGTCGGTCACATATAATCAATCCTATTCTTGATTGCTGTATTTACTGTTCAAACGCTTGGCCTCACAACCATGTTTTAAGTTGTTTTCTAAAGGTCAGGAGGGAGAGGGACTGATTTTATGTGTCACTGGGAAGGGAGTTCCATAGATGAACAGCCACCACAGAGAAGGCCCTGTCTCTCGTCCCACCAGTCTCATTTGCAAGGATGGTGGGACTGAGAGCAGGGCCTCCCCTAGCGATTATACCTTCACAATGGTTCATAGCAGGAGATATGTTTAGACGGGTAAGCTGGGCCGGAGCCGTTCAGGGATTTATAGGCTAAAGCCAGCACTTTGAATTGTGCTCGGTAGCAGACTGGCAGCTAGTGGAGCTGGCGTAACAGAGGGGCTGTATGCTCCCTGTATGCTGCTCTAATGAGCAACCTGGCTGTCGCCCGTTGTACTAATTGAAGCTTCCGAACAGTCTTCAAAGGAAATCCCACGTAGAGTGCGTTGCAGTAGTCTATACTGCATGGACTACTGCATGGACTACTGTAGCCAAGTCAGACTTTCCAAGGTAGGGGCTCAGTCTGGATTAGATATTGTCTTAGGAAGGATGGAGCAAGCATGGACAGAATGGTCTCTCCTCTGCTAAACAACATATCTCTAGATTTAAAAAAGAAAGATGAAGGGAAAAGAAGTCTGTCTCTGAATGGATACGCGAAGGAATCTACCCTTATAGCAAGTTGTGTCCATGCTGTTTGCAGTAATTTATCATTGGCTTTTCATTTCTTTACAGGGTCGGTTGGAATAAGCACTGCAAAGGGAAGGACCTTTCTCAATATGTCAGGGGCTGCTTCTAGTCCAGAAACTCTGAAGACAGCATTGTTGAGGGAGAATGGAAATTTCAAAGCAGTGGTGGCAATTGAGTGTCGGGAGAAAATGGAAAGAAAAAAAGAATGAATAGCACCATGTATTCAAGCAAAAGATCGTGGCATTTGTGAACCAATCAAACATGCGGGATGGGCTGAGCCAATCCATGGCTCCTTCCAAATCTTTTATGGTGGAATGTGTGCAACTTTTTGGTGATTAATAAAAAAGATGTTGTTCCTTTATTTTGCTGCAGTCTTTAGATTTCTTTTGCTGTTTTCTTACAAGAAAATAAGTTCCGAAGGAGAGTTCTACAGATGGGAAATTATGTTTGATTGTAATGGCACATAGATGTTTGGGGGAATTAGAGGCTGGGTTACTAAGAAGGGTACTCTAACAAATGTTTGTGTCCACACTTCAGCTCCTACAAGGTAGGGCAAACTGTGTGATGCAATACTCTTATGTTCCTCAGAGAATGATTACAATCATATATTACATTTTTAATAGCAAGAATGACTTAGGGCCCTTCCACACAGCCCTATATCCTAGAATATCAAGGCAGAAAATCCCACATTATCTGCTTTGAACTAAGATATCTGAGTCCACTCTCAGATAATGTGGGATTTCCTGCCTTGCTATTCTGAAATATAAGGCAAGCAGGAAATCAAATACTCCCCAATTGTCCTTCTAATCTAAAATCCTAAACTCTTCTGGTCCCAAGCATTTTGGATAAGAGATGCTCAACCTATAGTATACACTTTTGAAGACTATGAAAGTTCACTCTGTCAGCTTAATTTCCTCAGTCTCTAAAGTGCCACAAGATCCTTGCTTTAAGCAAAATGCTGATTATTCTAGTATGCATTGGTCCAAAATATTGTAAGTAAATGTATTTCTTACAGCTACAAAGCTTTCTTGAGTGCTTGAGAGTAGTGGGAGGAGAACACCTGAAAATCTGGGGAAAAATATAGCCAGTGGTCTGTTTTCTCCATAAAGTTTGAGAAATACTTTTGAGCCTTTCGGGAGAAAAAAAAGGCTGGGTTGGTAAATTTGAACTTGCGAGAGCTTCTTAGACAAGGATTTCTGGTTCATCAAACTCACCAGAAAATTTAGCCATTGTTTTTAACCATTATCATTATGTTTATTTATACCCCGCTTTATCTATCCCAAAGGGGACTCAAAGGGGCTTGACATCTAGAAGATTCCGAACTGACTTTGCAGATGCAGGAAATACCATATGTACGATTTCACAGAGACCATGATGGAGAAATTCAGAGTTAGAAATCCATCAAACACATTTAAAATTTAAAACCACAGCACCCCCTGCCTAGATCTTTAAAACCTCCATATGTAAATGATGGTTCAACCCCTCTTCTACTTTCCCTTCAGCCACCACCCTGTTCTAGAAACTCTTCCAGAATTGCTCAACTACAAGTCTGTGCCATGTGACATAAGAGGGACACATTTGCAAAGAAATCCTGTGGTTCTTAATAAACACACTGGTTAAGGAGGGGTCAATCCCATATTAATGGCCTCACCTAATACTTCTTAGTTGTTTCAATCCAGAATTCCAGAATATGTTTGGAAAATGTCCAGGGTTTTTTTAATGAGAGCACTGAAGTGACCAATATAACTCTGATTCCTGGAAAAGATGGGAGGGGATGGTGTAAGAGCTCCATACCTTGTACTTCATGGTGAGAGGCCACCCAGGACATCAGGAGGATAAAAGCAGGAGGCAAGAAGGAGCTGTTCACCCATCTAACAAGCTTTGCCAAGATGGTGCTTCTGTTACTGGGGGTTGTGACATCTTGCAGCTATGACTGTGCCCAGTGACAAAGGCAAGAGAATGACCCAACCTGGACACAGCGTATTATTTGAGAACACAGAAGGGCTGGACCACTCTAGCAACCACTATGCTAGTCTTCACAGAGAAGCCACTTAAATCCACAAGCATGTGGACAAATTCAACAGAAAGGAGGAAACCATGAAAATTAACAAAATCCGGCTACCAGTATTAAAAAAATTCCAAGATCAGGACAGTAAATAAAGAGCAACTCTCAGAAAACAGGGAAATTCCAGACAAGAAACAATCAGGACCAGCTAACACCTCCCAACAAAGGATTCACCCAGGCAGGAAGCAGCCAGGCTATGAGATGCCTTTGAATTCAAGATAGATGAGTGTGTCATCCAAATTAGCTGGCAGTTTGCCAAATGTCCTAGATTTCTTATGTGCCTCAGACTGAAAATTTTGAGAAACTATCAAGACTCTCGGAGAGCAGAATCCATTGCTGGCTGTATTTCCCTAAAAATTGCCTTTTGTCCAGGAATGGCCCTACCTTTAAGCAGAAGGAAGAAAGAGATTTTTGATATCATGACAAAGCACATAATTGTTTTTAAACTTCTTTTTTTATTACTATGTTTATACTTCTCAGGGAGGGGGAGAGAAAAGTCTTCCTAAGTGAGTTTGCTTACAAAGAATCTAATTCCATTTTGGATCAGTGTGTTCTTGTTGCTATTGTTAGACCCAGAAAGAATATAAATTGTCTGTATCTCATGGCAGCCGATTATCTGGGCATTCACATACAACAAGAATTACACTTTAATCCAAAGAGCAAGGTTCTTAGCTCATCTATTATTTTTAATGAGCAACCTATGGAGCCCTGGGTGCTCATACTCAAAGGATTACAACAAATTAGTGAGGAAGAAAGATCTCCTGTTTGCCTCAAAGTACATATTATTAGTGCTCCCTTCCTGTGCTTTCTTCCAAACTAATGGGTTCAAAGTAGAAGATAAATTTCACTGAAGATTTCACTGACGAAAACCTTCCGGTTGGTGAGAGTTGTTTGACAGTGGAATGGATTGCCCTGAGCAGGAGTAGGTTGGCCTTCAATGGAAGTCTTTCAACAGAAGTTGTCCACTGCTTGGAGTACTTTAGTTGTGAATTCTTTTGCTTGGAGGATGTTGAACTAGATGACTCTTTTAAGAATTTGTAACTCAGTTAATCCCTTATTGGGTTTTTCTTGGCAGCTGTCACCTTTTCATATCTTTCCTTTGGTGGTAACTTCTTCCTATCACTACCATTTGTTGAATGGCTGCTGTCTTCTGACAGCTGGAGAAGCAGACCTATGGAACAGGTCCTTTAGCAGAACTGATAAGAGCAATCGGATTATAATTTCCCTTTACTGTAACTTGATGCAATGGCAGTATCAGACTATGTACACAGCAGTTCTCTCTCAGTAACATGAACTCTCCCATTGCAGTGTTCATAGCACTTTAGTGAAGGACCCAAACATAGAAATTAAAACTATGGGTTGACATATGATTACAACTTAAAGAAGACAAACTCTGAGCATGAAATCAGAAAACTACTTCACTTGTGAAAGTGCTGCAACAAGGGTGAGCTTTACAGAGACAGAATTGGAGGGTTTGTCTTTGCGTATTTGTTGCGGTACTGTTGGCTATTTTGATTTGTTTACTCAGGGGAATTCTCCCATGCGGAAGCCTTGGGCTCTTGTTTCAGGGTCACAGTCAGATTACAACTTGCCCTGGATGTCTATCTAGAAACAAAATGGCAGTGATGAGCACTCCATTGATGCAGCTGGGCAAATTAGTTAAGTGCCGAGAAGCCAATGTAAACTCAACAGTAGACTCACACCACCCACGAGGGAGGGATAAAGGTGCTGCTTAGAGTGGGCCACCAACTTCTCCCTACCTTGTTGGTGGCCCTTGAAGCAGAGGGGCAGCTTCCCATTCATTGGTGGCCAAGGCTGAGCACAAGGCTTTGCCTCAGAAGAGGAGGGGCTGTAGCACCCATGAAAACGAGTAGTCATGTTGGTGGGTTCTGGGCTGGTGATATGAGCATGGTGGGAACCAAACTTACATGTTGGTTGCCACATCTTATGGGCATGCTCTAGCCTCTCATCAGTGTCGAGATTATGCTGGCATGCTTTTACATGGGGAGATCTTTGATAACCCCACAGGCAAGGACAAATAGTCCAGAAGACCTCAGCCAAACATGCCTGCGAAAGGCAACAGCTGCAGGCAGCAGTTTGCTTGTAGAATCTGCTGTGCATTTAGCACGCTGTTTATTAGGCCTGGGCGGTTTCGTTCGTTAATTTTGTAATTCGTTAAATATTCGTTATTTTTAACAATTACAAAACGATTACAAAACATATTTTCAAACCCGGAAGTGTTTTTAAATATCGAAACGGCATCCTCCATCTTTTTTACGGGCTTCCGCCCGTTTCGGAAATGACGTTTTAGGGATGGAGGATGCTGGGTGCGCCGGGAGCCAATCCGGCGCTCCCAAGCACCGTGGCTCATTGTTATTGGGCGGGCTGCCCTTTAAAAGCGGCTCCGCGTGGCCGCATTGCTCATTGCGAAGGAGACGGGAGGTGCGGGAGGGAGGCTTGATGGTTGGCTCTTGGCTGCTTGCTTGCATTCATTCATTCATTCATTGCTGGGAGCAGCGGGGAGGCTTTGCCCTGTTTTCGCCCCACAACAGGGTAGGGCAAGCATTTTGTTAATTTTCCATTTTTAAATATTTCTGAAAAATATCTTTTTCTTTTATTCTTCAAAAAATTCAAAAAATATTCTAAAAAAAGAAAAGACCCTTGTGTGCCTGTGTGTGTGAGTTTGTCCCTGTCCTGTGGCTGTGTTCGCTCCACAACAGGGCAAGCATTGTTAATTTTCCATTTTTAAATATTTCAAAAAATATTTATAAGTAAATATTTCAAAAAAATTCAAAAAATATTCTAAAAATGAAATTAACGAAATTAACGAAATTTCGTAAATACTGAACTTTTTCAAAGGAAAATTTTGTAATTATTTTAAATATCGAAACGCAAAAACCCCCCAAATACAAATCGATTTTAGAAACAATTTTTTGCGTTGTTACCCAGGCCTACTGTTTATGGAGACATGTGATGAGAGAGGCCTCTTGTTTGAAGGTAGCAGACATTCTTCGTCCTTTCAGGGGAAGGTGGCCAATGTAGGCCTATCTGATGTAAGTTTTTGTATATTCCCGTATATGCGCCATGACAGGCTAATACAGCAAAAAAACTAGCCAAGGAGTAAATCCTCTCATGTTATCAAAATTTTTACCCTAATTGTGAGGGTGTGTTGTATGACCCTGAGGGACACTGTGGTCGAGCGCAAAGTAAAGCGATGTGGGATTTGGTCTTAGATAATGCAAAGCCATCCTGTATGGTAGAGATCAATATAAGGTCTCCAGCTTCCATGGAGTCGC